TTTGACTTATAATCTCAGGATACTCTTGTATGAGTTTGTACAAGTAATCAAAATTAATATGACCCATTTGTTAATGTAAATCAACAATAGTGATTGTGTTAATAGATTGTTTATTATGATGAGAAACTATCATATACAAGTTATTTCGTACATGTATTTCACTAATCTTTGTATGAGCAGGAGAATAAATAATACATTCATTGTTTGTTTTCATTAAAACATATCCTGCTTTGCATAATAACACTTCACTAACGAGTGTGAAGTTCAGATTAGGATGATAGTATATGTTTTGTAGTGAAATTGTATTCACCTTTGTATGCTCATCAGCTTTGTTTCATAGTTTTATGTTAAATGTCATCACTCCACTTTTGCTAAGTAAGAATAATGATTTATTCACAATTGTAACGTTTATTGGGGTCGAGTTCTGAACGTTTGTAAGACAGAACAAGTATGGAGTAGTGTGTACATTTGCACCAGAGTCCAATATATCAATACAATGTATTAGTTCAGTATCATTGTAACGTATTGTGTTGATACATATGTTTGGATTGTAATTGAACTCTTCAACAACTTCTTTCACATTGTCAAATGAGTTTATGAAATCATCTACTTGCATGACACCTTCTTCTTGTACTTCAAATGCTGAAAATACATCAGATTCAGTAGATAGAGTGGATTGAACAGGTAAGCTGCTGGAACTTGATGCTGAGGCTTCTGCTATTACAGACTCTAGCATCAGTGTTTCATTAACATCTTCAATGAATGCTGTTTCGTTATTGTCTCCAATGAATACTGCTGCATTAAGTGCAGGTTGAGACAGTATAGTAGCAGTAGTAGAAGCAGTAGCTGTTTGCCTATGCTTTTTCTTTCAAGCTTCTGTTGTTTTGCTTGTTAGAGGATTTCAGCAGTCTTTTAACATATGCCTGTACTTGTTACAGTTGTAGTATTTAACTTTATTGTAAGGCTTTGTTTTGCCTTTAGCTACACTTTTGCCTTTCGTTTGTAGGCTGTCTTGTTCAGTATCTCGTTTTGTTTGAGAGTACTGAGAATGATACTCAGTATATGTGTTTTGTAATTTGTGTATCAGCTTAGCTGGTGTCAGAACGTCTTTCTGAGCTGCTGTAACTGTTGGTAGTTGATTATAATGGGTAATCTGCCTGTCTAGCATTGTTGCTACCCATCTATACTCACAAGGAGTAGTGAGATTAATTGCTGAGATGTATGTATCATTATTGGGGGCTTTATTATGTGCAGACAACTACCCATAGATTTGTTCAATGTTGTCTAACATCTTATCAAACTGTGATACATACCCTTTTACTGTAAACAATGTGAATATGTCTACAGCATGTGTCATTGTTGTTTGAACGTTGTATTGTTCAGAAAGCACCTTCATGAGACTTCTAACACTTGTATGTGTTGTGAAGTTTGCATAAATTGTATCAGTTATTGTTTTTGTTATACAATGATACAAAACGTTGCCTGTACGTATGCTAGCATCATTGGAGGAAGGGGGATCATGCTCTAGATGGTCTAAGAGCATCATGGCAGCAAGTGCACTGTGTATGCACAAGTGCCATATCTTGTATCCCTTCACACCAGCCAACTTTTCTGTTCCCTCAAAGAACTTTGTAATGTTGGAGTCCTTCATTGTAGCATTAACAAAGGTATACATTGTAGACAACATTGTAATGAGTTTGGGGGGAGAGGGAGGTCTTGGGCTTGGTGGTCTGGCAGGAGGCGAAGGTGTTCTGCAAGAGTGAGTGTGTGGGGGCATTCAATAGGCATTAAGGCTCATAACCTTTTAACAAGTGTAGTAGGAGTGCCCCAAGTACTCTCTCTTATTGAGACATCAAGCAAGTATCTACCTTATATACTACATAGTGAAGTCTGATAATCCGAGACATTCCAAGTGTAGTAATTCTACATAAGGCAATTGGGGATTTCCTAATCCAGAGTGTAATCTAATACTTCTTAACTATAGTAGTAAAAGCCTTTATAAATAGTAGGGTGGAAGAGTTAGAGTAGGAAATAGAATAGGGTAGAAAGTAGTGAAATAGAAAGTCTAGTTATGTTTTTATAAACAAAAAAAAACAGAAATGTAAGGAATAAACAGAATAAAACAGAAAATGAATAGAATAGATAGGAAAATAGATAAAATAGAGAGTTAAGAGGAATAGAATAAATGAATGGATATTTTTATAATTTATATATAGAACTAGTAGAATAGGATAGGAATAGGTGGAAAAGAATCATAATTTGTATAAAGGTTTATATACTTATAGAATATTATATAGACTTTTTGTAATTTTATTATAAATAAGAAGGAATGTAACAGAAGATTAGAAGTATATGAATATAAAACATAACAAAGTATAGAGAACTGTAGTTGAACACAGTATTTACAGATTTACACAACTGTTAGGTGTTACTAGTAGGGAATCAATCCTTATGTTTTAGTTTCCTGTACAAGACTAGGAGAGTATATTGAAAAATTGTACATTCTCAGATTAAGAGTCTGTAACTTCTGTACTTAGTTCTACTTCAAGTGTAGTATCTAAAGTACAGTCATTTAGATTATCTGTATCCTTGTAACTAGTCCTGTATGGTTCTACATCTTCCAGTATTAGTTCTGTAGTCTTAATAAAATGTAAGATAGAAACTGTTAAACATGAACACAGAAAATACAGAATTAAGCAAAATACTATAATACATAACTTGGCCACTACTCTGTCCAGTTCTGCTACAACATAAGTGTTTCCTTTTGTTCTTTACACTACTACAAACAGTCTAAAGTATTACAGTTTCATCTTTTGTCCTAAGTTATTACTTACTTTCAAATTACAGATTAGTACTAGTGTATCTGAGGCAAAGTTGTAGTCCTTAATCTAATTACAATTGACTTCTGTAAAATGCTTTACATATTTTTCACAAGCTTTCTAAACACATTCTATTATTTGTATAAAGTTATCTAGTCTCTTCTACAATTGTTGTACTTGTATTACTACTAGTTCCTCTGTTGTTAGTAGTAATCCTTTAGGTGGAACCAAATACATTACCTTGTTCAGGTCAAACAGTAATATTAGCTCTACTCTATAAACAAGGTAATAAGGAGAATATCTAGTCACTTTCTGAATTATAATCCACTCTGCCTAGAACACAGAATGTGTGTACTTATACTAATGTCTAATATTGTCTCCTACTGTCTTTACAATTACTTCCTGTATGTTCAAGTGTTTCTGCTTAATAATTCTGTTTGTACAGGAGTTATACACAGAAATCTGAATATGATTAATATAGTATCATTCTTACAAATAGTCTAACACTATAATGTAAGACATTCTATTGTCTGTTACAAGCTTAGAACATGCCCTGTATTAGTATAAAAGTTCCTCAAAGATAAACTGTCCTATTTCCCTTCTGTTCTCTACACAAAGTATGCAAAACTCTGGATACTCTGATAACAAACAGTGTGTATACACAATATATTAGAATCTTCCTACTTTCAGTATAACCTTTGTATCTATATGAATCTTTTAGAAAAGTAGCACAATCTCTAGAATACTTGGTAGAATCAGTACTTGTTACATCTGCCAAGTCTGACATACATAACAAGTCCTAATAAAGTACTTAACATCTTTTGTAAGAGATAGCTACTAGAACTGATCTAGTAAACAGGCTCATACTACAAAGATTCTCTTGTGTCCTAAGTCTTTGTGTACTATCCTAACCAACTCCTATCTCCTGTCCTTATCTAGTATAATCTAATACTTTCCTTCAGGACCTTAACACCAAATCTTGTTGTTCTATACAAAGAACTGTACTACATATTGTATAAACATTAGAAAATCAGTGTCTACAATTCTGCTTAGTTTGTAGAGAAAGCTAAGATACTCTTTCACAGTCTTCAGTCTTACTTCTTACCTTTTAGTAGTTAGTGATTGTAGGAATTGTTCTACTGTTACATCCAAACCCTTAGTCTTGTTACTACAGATACTGTACACAACCCTTATCAGCTCTAGATTGTCACCTTCTACTTTGTTATCTGCTCCTTCTACCTTCTCAGTTTGCACAACTCTGTAAGACTCTCCTCCAGCTTCCTATTCCTATAGTCCTTTGTCTACTTCATTTTCTACTCTTCTACATTCTGGATTGGGTTGTTCTAGTGTATCTTAATGTATCTAATTCTAGTTCTGTTTTAGAATAACAACTTCTAGGAATAATCTATGTTACAGTCTGCTGGAACGTGTTGTCTGTAGCATGTCCTTGTTTACTTGAAATGATTTGTCAATAATGTTGTTGTGTGTCTCCTAACACATTATATTTGAAACCTGAGACTGTATTTCTTTACACTCAACTAACAAAGCTTTGTGTTCTGTAGACCTGTAAATCTCCAGCAGATGTCTGTGTTGTGTTGATTCTATTTCTGCTATGTAGAATCTGTATGACTCATCAATCCAGTCTTCATAGGTTTTGTTGTCTAGAGGGTCTTCAGGTACTACTCAGTATTATAATAATCTGTCTATACACTTGAAGTCTAATGCAGGAATGTGGCAGAACTCGAAATTGAATAGCAAAATACTAGCTATCTAGCAATTAATTGTAGCATTAGGCTGCAGGTCAGGCTTATTAATCATTCCTTTTATGTATAAAGCATTCATTTCTACAATTAATTTCCTGACACTTATAAGATATATATACAATGTGTAAAGTGTGTAATAAAGTCTGAACAGCTCTATTTTTGCTTACAAATATTGTACTTACATTGTGTTCCAGTTAATCAATCCAAATCAATTTATTCTCTGTTTGTAATCCAGGTGCTCCTAACTAATATACTATCCTACTCTAATGATAGACAAATCTACTGTCAAGACTACTAGATACTCTGACTCATAGTCAATTAGTGTTAATACAGAGTAATGTAAAACTGCTTCCTTACGTGTGTTTATAGATTTCTGTACTTTGTCATTCTAATTAAATATCAAGTTCTTTTGTGTGAGTCAATTGAGTAGTTGTGCTAACTTTGTATAATTTTGAATAAAAACACAAAGTACTCCTACTGTTCTGAGAAATCCCCTCACTTCTGTAACACTCTTACAAGGCAGCCAATCCCTAACCTTCTGTATTTGTGATTCTTCAGCCTCTCTCCCTAAATATGTTAGCTTATGCCTAACAAATATTGTGGATACATTCATTAGATGCTTGTATACAAACTTCTGTATTCCCTCATTCTCAGGAAGCATTTCCTCTGTTCTGTCTGCTTTCTCATATCTTAAGTAGGGTCTAATTACTAGAATGTTGTCTGTGTATAGGTTTGTAATATCTAGAATCTTGTTACAAAGAATAAACACCAAGTCATTATACAGAATCTGTACTGAGTTAGTATAACCTATTAGTAACACTGTCAAGCAAAATGTCCCTAAAGGTGTCTGGAACATTGTCAGATCTCTAGACTACTCATCCAAACTCCTCTAATTAAGCACAATATGTAAATTGAGTTGTATATAGTATACACAACCTCTACAGCTTTCCACAATTAGTTCCATGTTCAGTAGAACAGCTGTGTCCTTTATTGTAACTGTGTTTAACCTCTATAAATTAATAATAAATCACAAGGATACTCTGTCTTTCTTTGTGATGCAAAACCATCACAATTAATATGAGGAATTCAACAGTTCTATCACTCTGTTACACAACTTTGCCTTCAACAACTCAATCACCCTCTTCTCAATTCTGTATACAATCAGAATACTTTTCTTTACCCATAGTACATACTCTACAGTCAGAATTCAAATAGGATCAAAATATGTAAGGTCTAATGTTCCTCACTCCTCTTCTGTCTATACAAACACTTCTGACTATAGTATTAATAGGTTCTCTACAAGCTTCCATTCTTCCAGCTATAGGAATCCTGATTACAATTCTCTAATCACTTACATCTGTTCTTCTGTAAGTTGGCTAGTAGGTACAAAGGGCTGTAGTATTGTTAGTAATATAGGCATCCTAGCTAGGGGATTGGGCTACTATTGTCTGACTATACAGAACTCCTCTAGAAGTACTCTGAGTACAGAGCACACCTTATTTACAACTTTCTTGTAAGCTCACAAAACTGTGTTGAGTTTGTCATCCAGTGTATTAAGAATTACTAATTTCTGCAACTCTGCTACCTCTATTAACTATGATTCTATGACTCATGATTCCTGACTATAATCCTGTCTTACATTTCCTCTACTTCCTTTGCCTCTTCCTCTGTATAGAATCATTGTCTTACTATTACTCTTCTACTTGTTTGTTCCTAATCTGCTTGTCATATACACATCTCCCCAGAATTATAGTGTTTCTAGTTCCTTAACACTTCTCAAAAATCTGTCTCTAGCTTGTATTACAGTACTCTCACTCTGGTGGACAGAGACTATCTCCTTAACAGATCATTTGAGTCCTAAAGCATTATGTGCTGCTCCCTGTTCACAAAATCTTTAGTTTCACATTCTATAGTTGTAAAGAACAGTCTACCTAGTAAGATCCTAAACAGAGCTTTCTGTACAACTTGTACTGTAATATCTACATGAAGCATTCCTATAAAGAGTTACAACCTCAGAATCTGTCCTACAGTCAATCCCCAACCTGTGTCTACTGTTTCAAGTATAACAGTCATATTACAATCCAACAGAATCTTTAATACTTCCTATATGTTAGCTCAAACTATGTTCATGCTTGAACCCTGGTCTAGTACACAATCTACCTCAATTTTTCTGTCTACTATTGTCTTGAGTATATAGAGTAGAAGCAAATGGTTGACTTCTGCTAACACATTGTAATACTACTATAGTACACAAATGTTCAATCCTGTAACAGGCAGTTCTCTACTGTAGAACACAGTGTTTCTATCTGTTTAGTACTTTAATGTAACTAATTCACAAGTCTTCTTCTGAAGCTCTAGAGACAATACAAGTAACTCCTACTGTGTAATACACACTTCCTAGTCTAAGCTATAATCTAAAACTCTTCCAGCTATTTCCAGGTCCTTAATTAGTACAATGTAGTAGTACAGGTGCTCCTTTGTTCTAGTTCTGTCTTACTGTATACTTACTAGTGTTAGTTCAATATTTGCAGACTTTACTACTTTATAATCACACTCTTACTTTCCCTTCCCCTTTGTATCCTTTACTTTTAATTGTTCTACAACCTTCTTACAGGCTTCTCCTAGTATTACTTTAAGCCTTTCAAGCTCTACAAGGTTCTCCACCTCCTCCTCTTCTTCTTCATCAACCTCTACCATTATAACTAGTACAGGAGCTTCTAGACTGTGTACTATAACTAGTACAGCTTGTACAAAACTAACAGAGTACATTTGTAACAACAGAAAGTAGCTATCAACCTTTTCCTTCAAGGTCTGCCCTATCCTAGAAATAGTGTTTCTGTTAGCTATAATAATTTTATTGTCTAGGCTCTGTACACACTTCCTATTTGTAATGTATTCTAACACTTTTGAGCAACTGTATATAAAATGTCCAGATTCTCTACAAAACACACAACTTCTGTTTCCTGATCCTCTGCCTGAACCTCCACCATATCCTCCTCCTCCTGATCTTGGGCCTTACTTTATTAACTCTACTTGTAATTACAGACTCTAAAGTACTTCCACAATACTTGTCAAATTAACTTCCTCCTGTTTAACTAGAATCACAGGCTAACTTACAAGTGTATCTAATCTACTAACTACTGTGAGTGTAGATCCCTCAAGGATTGACCCTACTACAGCTACAACTTATACAATATTGTACACAAGTCTGTCCTCATAGTCTAAATACTTGATTTCTAACTTCTGTGTCAGTTTCTCTGTAATTACTCTATAAAACACATACAGAAAAACACAGTAAGATTCCTCCAGTAACAGCTTATTGTTAGTTGTTAAATAGGTTACTATGAGTGTAAACTCTTAGTAGTACATTCCCAAATTGTCCCTATTCATAATTCCTCTCTCTGCCTATTTCTGTACTATAGTATCCAAGTCACTTCTAGCATATTGTGCTCCTGTCTTAAGACTTGGGTAATACACAATTACTCTCATCTTAAATGTATCCTAAGACACTTTATCCACATTATCCTACAAATCCTCCACTTCTACAGACATGTACTTTATTACAAGCAGAATAATATCTGCTCTAACTATGTTGTATTTGTTTGTAAGACTTTCTACATCTGTAAAATACCTCTACAACTCTCAGGGCTTGGTTATGTCAAAGAACAGTGTATTACATACTCTACAACAAGGTAGCTTCAGAATGTTCAATATAGTCATTGACTGTACTACTAGTCTTGGTTGTAATAGAATTTGTATGTTTACTTGTAGTTGCTAAAGTAGTTACATGTTACTTACAAGTTGTTGTTACTGTAACTAAAGCTGTGTTGTTAACAATACACTAGTTACTAGTAAGAGTAATAATACTGGCTACTAGACTATCTCTGTTTCCTGTAGAGACAACTGTGCTCTTCTACAACACAGTGTTCCAGTTACAGTCAGTTATAATGTTGATATGGTTTGGGAAAGTTGTAGAGTAGCTGGTGATCTTGTACACAATTCTGAGGATGTAAAATGTAGTAGTTTGTTACAAATTCAGAAACCAATTACTTGAGGATTGAGTGATAATACTACAAGGTCTTCTTCTTCCTCCTCTTTGTTACTGACTCAAGTGCTCTACTGTTCCAATAGTGTTCCTAAGGTTTCTGTAATATCAGATTCTGTACTTCTAGTGTTCAGACTATCAGATGTTTTACAGTGTGATTGGATTCTAGCAGATCTGTGTGTTCTACTCAATACAGGTACTAGTACTGACTGTGACTGTGTTGACCTAAGGCTACAGGCTGGTGTCTGAGAAACCTGTTCAGGATGCTGAGAACTGTTAGAACTTGTATTGTTTAACTATAGAAACCCTCCTTATAGTAGGCTCTAGATGAAACTCCTGTAAAGTGTTTAAGAGGAGAACACAGGTGATTTGTTAAGTTTGAGAGGGAGCTAAACCACAAGTCTTATAAGACTAGATTGGTTCTGAACAGGTGTAAGTTCTTCTAACACAGTTGTAACCTTAGAAGAGAGATGTGAATAACAGAAAGTGTACTTTGTAAAGTACATAACAAACAATCTGATACAGAAAACAACAAAGACTAAGACTATGCCTTACACTAGAGGACTTTAAGATGAGAGACAAGAACGAAATCAATAGGTGAACTATCTGAATTCCCCCTGTATCTAGTACATGAGTAACTGTATTTATAGTTTTCTGAGTTCTAGAAAAGTATAGTACTAACAGGGAAATGTCATAGCTGAACAAAAGAAAAATAACAAAATATACAAGAACAAATAAGAGAACCTTTTACTAGAGGTTGGAAGAAAAATGGGGGTGAAAATGTATGAGGAAAATTTAAGTAGTCTACATTCTGACTACAGGAAATGTTATACAAAAAGGAAAAGCAAGATTTACATTAAAAGAAGTAGAAGGTTCTCATACTGTTATTATCTGATTAGTGTAGACAAAGTGTGGAGAGTTCTAAGATTTCTAACTGTCTCCTAAGATCATCACTTTGATTGCCTCAATGTTCTATCTGATTTGGAAGATCACAGTACTTTGATCTAGGCAATAATAATGTAATAGTTTGCTGAGCCACTTACTGTGACACAACTTGTGTTCTGAGCCTGTGATAAGTATGTGATTTGTACATTCTATAAGGAAAACAATGTGTGTAAGCCAATTCCAAGACTGTACACACTTGTGGTTCTGTTTACAAATGCTTGTAATACAGAATAGTTGGGTGTTCTCAGAGTAGGCTTCTATGAGTCACATGGGTGTTTGGAATTGATTACTGTGATTGTCTGTATGTAATGTATAGTTCTTAGTATAATGCTAATTGTTTCAATATATAAGTGTACAAGATTAGACTGGTCATATAGTCTTGATCTTGTCTACTCTAGGTAGTTCTGTACTCTTAGGCTCACTCTATATACTCTACTCTTGTCTCACTCTCTCTCTGTCTGTTCTACAAGTTCTGACTATGTTCTAGTACTTATGTTCCATATTTCTGTTGTGTAAGATAGTTGTAGCCTGAGTCTGCTTACTAAGCCTTCAGGTCCCCTCTACACTGTTACTGACATCAGATTAAGACTCCCTATTGTTACAGTTCTCTACTCTTGTACTTTCAGTTCTAAGGGTTCTACACCCTTCTGTATCAGAACTCAGGACTCCTGTCCCTCAAGGGTGCCATCTATAGACTATATGTGTGCTGACTCTTACTACTACCCTTCCTTACTTTATCATTCCATTCCTTTAACCACCCCTTCATTCTTTGTTCATTCTATAGTCTCTTACCCTTTGTCTATCCCTTCATTCTTTGTACCTTTATCTTTGACCTTCCCTTTCTTTCATTCTTTGTAACTTATCATTCTTAGTAGCTCATA